CAACCTTTCTGGCACCACGGACTCCCTCCCCAATATTATCTCATGCATTATGATTAAATAGAATATAGGCTGTCTACAGTATAGCTGGAAGGTAGGCTTAGGCGTATAGATTTTCATCATGTTTTACACAAATGTGAAAATGAAATTGTGATTTAAAAAGTGGTGGCAAAACAGTGTGGAAAAATAAAATATTAGAATATACTCAACTCCCGGTTGAGAATTAATTCTCTGTATAAACACGTAAGTTCTGTTTGTGTTTGTTAGTGATGAAGGATAATAATCTTTATTCGAGGAAATTGGTGTGACGGTAAAGTGGCTTATTTGTACTTTGGGAGGTAGCCCATTTGAATATCGACTGGTATACTGGCTCTAAGAACAGTTTTTTCTGTCTCCTTTTGTGAAGCTAATTTCTTGTCATTTCTAGTTAATCGTACATAAATGTCCTCTCAGTTCACGAAATATTCCCAATGTTGCCACGAGACCGAAATATCGTCAAAGATCATATCTCGAGGCTTAAATACATCATCATTGTTTTAACCATTAATCAGCGATAATCGTTTTAACGCGGCTTTTCTAATGCCTTTCATCTGGTTTTACGGAACGAAAGAACCAAACATTGTGAAAAGAGGACAACACGTTCTGTGTAGTTCGTACGCGAACACCTGGTCTGTTTTATAGCATCAGTTAAAACTTTGAATGAAACGGTTGCTTTCATGTTGTGAATTTCAGACGTCTGTAAAAGCCATACATTAAGGAAAAAACTACTTTTTACGTTTGAAATGGAACCGGATGACATAAATTGCCTCCCAGTTCAACACCGAGGCAACATGCCGTCAGTTTAACTGTGAAAACATCAGAGTTATTTGAATACCAGTGATGTAATCAAATTAAGATGGCTGTCTTCTGGGTTGTAGAGCCGTGTAGTCTGGTAGAAGTTTTCCAACGTTTCGAGATCCTTGCTGCCATCACCAACAGGGCTATAATGACGGCAGCAAAGACTTGCAGCCGTGAAAACCTCAAATTATACTAGTCAAAATAAATACAGATTTGTTGCGTTTCAAATATGACTCCGATTGAAAACAAGGAATATGTATGAAAAACAAGAAAGGCGCATTTAGAACTAGTCTAAAAACTGGATATAGTAGTGACCTTCTTCAGAATCTGACAGTCTTTCAGCCGGTTATGAATTTGTTCTTCTTTTATGGAACCCGAAATTCCAAAATCATGCAAGATATCCGAAAGAACCAACTTCCGAAATTGCGTGTATATCAAATATACTTAGGTAATGGAGAATCTCCAAAATGTTAGGACTACTAGTAAAATGTGGAGGACTTTTCTGTGTGTTGGAGACTTTGCTACATAACGTTTATGTCAACTGCACATGGGGACACCATCTTCTATGGCAAATATGCCATGTAGTTCCTCCAAATTGAGGTAATTGTATTGTATGCCTGTGGGAACTGCACAGACTAACCAATAACAACTCTAAACTCTCCCTCCCACAAGCAATCAGTGGTCAATATTTTCATGGAAAGTGCTCTGTTTGCTACCAGAGCATTACGCAGGGTTTGAAGGTATGCATGGCCTTAGGTACAACATAGATATTTACTTATGTCATAAATTGTTACTCAGACTACAAAACTTTCGAATCGTATTGTCAGGGAGATTAAACTTTTAGCTAAGCAGATGGTACTTGGACACATAATCACTTGGTTTTAGAAGTTTACGACTTCCTTTACATTTCTTGGCCGAGTAAAGTCGCCTGCGTTCCATTGCTTGGTCTCAGAGCCCTCCGGACGAAGCGGAAGGCAGGAGTGTTATTATACCGACGTCGATTCGTTGCTGTTGCTATTAACGTGTAGAGAATGCAAGCCATAAAGTACATATCTCCCGTGTATACACAGACGCCCATCTGGTATCTACGCAAAGCGCTGTAGTGGAAAGACGCAATGCAAAGCAGGATCCACACTTAAACAACTACCTGCCAAGCATTCGTGCTTCGTATTTGGGAAGTCTCGGATTTAAATCTTGACCCAGAGATCGAGTATGATTGACGTCTTCCTAGGTTTTCTTCAATCCCTCCAGCCAAATGTTGGGATAGTCTCTTAAAATTAGGTCACTGCTGTTTCCATCCTCATCTCTTCTCGTCTATTATTCATTGATCATCCTATCATTAGACGTTACTTAATCTGAGTTACCAATAGCGTCGTTAAACAAACCACGCATAATAATATACACGATAGGCAAGAGATGTCACTGAGAGAAAGAGAATGCATGTCAGTTTGAATATATTTCGCACCGAAATTACAGCGATATCGCTTTTAAAATTATCGTATATTAATGTAATATACATGTCGAAACCAACATTTTTACTGGTCAGTTTTAAAGGGTTCTATGATGGTGTGATACACTCGGGATTACTAAATTATTTGATTGTGTCCACTGTCTTGTATTCAAAAGAACACGACGTTTCGAAAACTAGATC